TGGTAAACGCATCAGTAAATATTAAATATTTTTTGTTATTTTTTAAAATTTAATTTAAAGGTAACTGTGTAGAGCAAGAACAAGACCGAGTACTGTAAATTAATTTCATATTTAAAAGGAAAACATATGGCTGCCCCTTGCCTATGTGGATCTCTGGCCCACTGCTGGGTGAAACGCCCAGACCTCAGGCTCCCCATCTACCAACACCAGGGCTCCTCCAGCCACCTCCTCTTGGCACACTGCAGCTGCCCCCATAGGCCCCTGAACAAGGTAACCTCCACCTTGAGACACCAGACAGGGCCTGGAGGCAGGTGCCCATGGCAGCACTGCCTGCCACAGAGCTGTGTCTCTGCACAAGCCATCCAACACCATCCCAAGGCCCACCCTCACTACCTCATCTCTGAAAGCTGTTGCCTCCATCTTGGGACACCTCTGCCACCATCTTGGGTTACCTCCACTGCCACCATTGCCATTTTTAGTTGAGGCAGCTTCCATCTTGGGACACCAGCTGGGGCCTAGAAGCCCAACATCAAAGCACCTACAGGTTTGCCACTGTCACCAACTAGAGACACAGCCACTTCCATCTAGGGACAGCAGCCAGGGCATGGATGACCACCACCAAGGTCTTGCAGCCTTAGTTACATGGGAGATCTCTCTGCTAGGTGTGCTAGTAGCCAGCATCTTGCTGCAAAGTCAGAAGAAGACTTTGCACAGGGTTGCTAGGTTTGAAGAGGGTGTGACGACATCTTGATCCTGGTTCACCCACCCAACCAGCCCAGCACCCACAGGGTCCTCAAGGCCAACTCTGGCAGCACTTGCTGGGACCCAACACCAGCCCAGTCCCCAGCTCCCTCCCCAATCCAGCATCCACTAATCACCTGGTCCTACTGGTTTGGCTATCAACAGGGCCCTCTGGCTCTCCAAACCACAGTCTTCCAGCACTATAGCCACCAACCTGGCTCAGCACTTGCAGCTACATCGCTGGCCTGCTGCTCTCAGTGCCTGGTCCTCATCTGCACAATACACAACAGCTCTCTAGAACAGGCACACTGATCATGGTGCTCAGCCCTGAGGACCTCCAGAGAGAGAGATTCCAGATTAGGAAGTCAAAAGCATAGGTGTGAGAGACATACAGTTTATAAACTAAGTTACAGACCAGGAATTGAGGGGTCCACAAGTTAAGACCAGGCTCCTACAACACACAAGTGGACCCCCAAGGAGATTCCTGGGCTTCAGTATTCCAACAGGGATGAACAATTGCTATGCCCTATCTCCAGGAGTTCCACATCCAAGACAAACCCTCCCAACCCTAGTAACCTTCATTTCAAGAAAGAGAGATTCTGAAAGAAATCCAAACAGAAATGCTCAAAATGAAGGAAACAATAAACCAAATTGAAAATTCAATAGAAATCATCACCAAAAACAATTCTGGAAGACAGAACCTCAGGCAATAAGGACATAATATATAATCTTGAAAATAAACTTGACCACACAGTGAAGATGGTAAGATATCATGATCAGAACATCTAAGAATTATAGGATAACACAAAAAGACCAAATTTAAGATTCATTGGAATACAGAAAGGCACAGACATACAAACCAAGGAAATACACCATTTTTTCAAAGAACTAATACCAGAAAATTTCCGAAACCTGAAGAATGAAATGAAAAATCAAATAAAAGAGGCTTACATGACATCAAATGTCCAAAATTATAACAGATCCACACCCAGGCACTTTATAATAAATATACCTAGCATACAGAATAAGGAGAGAATTTTATAATAAAAATACCTAGCATAGAGAATAAGGAGAGAATTTTAAAGGCCACAAAAGGAAAGTACCAGATTGTATATAGAAGGAAACCAATTTGGATCTCAGTAAATTTCTCAACCCAGACCCTCAGAGCTAGGAAATCCTGGAAGAACATATAAAAAGCTCTGAAAGAAAATAGGTGCCAACCAAGAATCTTATATCCAGCAAAATTAGCTTCAGATTTGATGATGAAATAAAAACCTTCCATGATCAACAAAAGTTAAAATAATTTACAACTAGAAAGCCTGCACTACAGAATATTCTCAGCAAAATATTCCATGAGAAGGAATGAAAATCAGCAAAAGGTGGAACTATATTGGAAAAGTCAATCAAAGGAAAAACCAAGTCACCTTAAAAAAACAAAAATAAACCAAAATGAATACAAATCATAACCCTGAATGTTAATTGCCTAAACTCATTAATCAAAAGACACAGTCTGGCAGACTGGGTTTTTTAAAAAGACCCAACAATATGCTGCCTTCAAGAGACTCATCTCATAGGAAAAGATATCCACAGACTGAAGGTGAAAGGATGGGAAAAAACATATCACCCACATGGACTGTGTAAACTAGCAGGGGTTTCCGTCCTCATGTCAGATAAAGTGGACTTCAGCCATAGTTCATCAGAAGAGATAAATAAGGACATTTCACTCTGTTTAAAGGAACCATACATCAACAAAACATAACAATCATAAATATGTATAACTCAAACAATGGAGCATCTATGTACACTAAACCAACCCTTCTCAAATTCAAGAATCAAATAGACCACAACACAATAATACTGGATGACTTCAACACACCTCTCTCACCACTAGATAGTTCTCCAAACAAAAACTAAACAAAGAAACTACAGAACTCATCCATCAATAAGCAAATACACATTATTCTCAGGAACACGTGGATCATTCTCTAAAATAGAACATATGTTATGCCACAAAGCATATCTTAGCAAATACATAAAAATAGAGATACTGTCCTGCATTTTATAAAATTTCATAATAGAATGAAATTTGGAATCAATGATAAAATTAAAAAATAGAAACTACTCCAACACTTGGAGACTAAATAATACACTATTGAATAACAAGTGGATAGCAGAAGACATCATGAAGGAGATTTAAAAAAACAAAAAACGCTTAGAAGTAAATGAGAACAATGATTCAACATATGAAAATCTCTGGGACTTATGAAGGCAGTGCTAAAAGGTAAGTTCATTGCATTGAGCTCATTCATTAGAGAATAAAAGTCAACAAATAAATGACCTGACATTACATCTCAAAGCCCTAGAAAAATAACAAATCAACACCAAAAGTAGTAGAAGACAGGAAATAATTAAAATCAGAGCTGAAATCAATAAAATTGAAATAAAAGAAACAATTCAAAAAGTTGACAAAACAAAAAATTGGTTCTTTGAAAAAAATAAATGAAATTGATAAACCATGAGCCATGCCAATGAAGAAGAGAGAGAAAACTGAAATTACTTAAATTCATGAGGAAAAAGAAAATATGAAAAAGGAAATATCATGGATATAACGATTGAAATACAGAAGATAAATTAAAAACTATTTTGAAAATTTACACTCCAGGAAAATAGAAAATATCAAAGATATCAACAAATTTTAGAGACATATGCTATGGACAAACTGAGTCACGACATACACAATTTAAACAGATCAATTTCAAGCAATGAAACAGAAGATGCCATCAAAAGCCTGCCAAGGAAGAAAAACCCAGGAACAGATGGATACACAGCTGAGTTCTGCAAGACCTTCAAAGAAGAATTAATTCCAATACTCCTCAAATTACTCTATGAAATAGGAAAGAAGGGACTGCTTCCAAACTCATTCTATTAGGCTAGTATCACCCTGATACCAAAACCAGACAAAGTCATATCAAGGAATGACCAATGGCCTGATGAACATAGATGCAAAAATGCTCAATAATTCTCAGTAATTCTGGCTAATCTCATACAAAACACATTTAAATGATAGTGCACCATGATCAAGTGGGGTTCATTCCAGGGATGCAAAGTTGGTTCAACATACAGAAATCAATAAATGTAATTCATCACATCAACAGACAAGAATCATACTGTAATCTCAATGGATGCAGACACACATTTGACAAACTACAGCACGTTTTCGTGTTCAAAACAGTAGAAAAACTAGGGGTAACAGGAACATATCTCAACACTGTAAAAGCTATTTATGCTAAGACCAAGGCCAACATCATTCTAAATGGGAAAAAAAATTAAAAGGATTCCCTCTAAAAACTGGAACAAGACAGGGATGACCTCTTTCACCACTTCTATTCAACATAGTCCTTGAAACTCTAGCCAGAGCAATTAGACAGAAGAATAAATTAAAGGGATATGAATAGGAAAAGGAGCACTCAAACTATCACTATTTGCCAACAATATGATTCTCAATTTAGAGGATCTAAAAAACTCCACCAGAAAACTTCCAGGACTAATAAATGAATTCAGCAAAATAGCAGATGCCCTTAAACAGATGAATGAATAAAGAAACTGTGATATATATATATATATATATATATATATATATATATATATATATACACACACACATACATACGCACACATACATATACAATCGAATATTACTCAGCATTAAAAGAGAATAAAATTACGGCATTTCAGATAAATGGATGGAGTTGGAGAATATCATGCTAAGTGAAGTAATCCAATCCCAAAAAACCAAAGGTCCAGTGTTTTTTCTGATATGTGGCTGCTGATTCCTAATGGGGGTTGGGGGACCATGGGAGGAACTTTCGATAGGGCAAAGGGGAGGGAGGGGAAGGGAGGAGTCATTGGAGCAGGAAAGATGGTGGAATAAGATGGACAATATTACCCTAAGTACATGTATGAAGACACGAATGGTGTGATTCTACTTTGTGTACAGCCAGGTAAATGAAAAATGTGTTCTATATGTGTACTATGAGTTGAAATGCATTCTGGTGTCATGTGTAACAAATTAGGATAAATAAATAAATTTTTAAGATAATAAAAGTAGCCTGTGATACAACCAAAAAATTATATTGAATGCTGGACCGCTGATGTACTCATAAATACATAGCCAAAAAGCTACTCTTGGTTATAAATAAAATCTTAAAAAGGAACAAGAAAGTTGGAGCTAGTAAGAAAAGAATGGCAAGACAGAAGACTTAAACCATACCCAAAAATTATATTGCTTTAATACAACACATCACATGCAAATGGTCTAAACAATCATTAAAAAATCAGATTGTCATATAGAATAAAAAGGTAAAATACAACTCTCTGCAGTCTACAGAAAACACACTTTAAGAACAAAGACAGCAGTACAATGAATCTGACATGACTTTCCTATCTTTTTTATGATTAAATGACCAATGTAACCCCACATCATGTACAATCACAATAATGGGATCCTAAGTGGAAAATGTTAAAATTATTTTATGTGTGTGTGTCGAATTACACCCTACTGTCATGTATATCAGTAAAGAAATATTAAATAAATGAAAAATTAAGTAAAGAGAACAAAGATAGGTTAAAGCAGAAGATGGCAAAAGATACACTTAACAAAACCTGATAAATGGGGCTGGGGATGTGGCTCAAGCGGTAGCACGCTCGCCTGGCATGCGTGCGGCCCAGGTTCGATCCTCAGCACCACATACAAACAAAGATGTTATGTTGTGTCCGCCGAGAACTAAAATAAATGAATATTGAAAAAAAAAAAAAACCTGATAAATGAAAGCAAGAGGACTGGGGTTGTGGCTCACAGGTAGAGCGCTTGCCTAGGTTCGATTCTCAGCGCCACATAAAAATAAATGAATAAAATAAAAGTACTATGTTCATCTATTTAAAAGAAAGAAAGAAAGAAAGAAAGAAAGAAAGAGTGACGATTTTAATATCAGAGTAGAATTCAGGACAAGAAATATCAGACATAAAAGAAATCATTTAATGATGATAAAAGGGTCAGTCAACCAAAAAAAACTGATTTTATATTAATAACACAACTTAAAAAAACCTGGAGCAAATACAACAAAAAGTTAGAAATGAAAGGGAAAACATTTACATCCACAAATATAGTTGGAGATTTCAACTCTCATGTCTCAATAAGTAACAGAGCAGGTAGACAGGAAATTAGTAAGGATATAGAAGATTTAGAGAACAACCTAACTGACATTTATAAGGCAGTCCACCCAACAACAGAACACTTTCTTTTGCAGTGCACATGGAATATTCAGAGAGAGAGACTGCAGATAGCAAACAACTTCCAACAGATTTCAAAAGATTAAAACCACACAAAATATATTTGGGGAATCAAACAGAAAGCCAATGACTAAAATACCCATAAAATACAGCAAACATTTGATAATTACACAATATATTTTTTTTAAAAGAGAGAGAGAGACAATTTTAATATTCATTTTTTTAGTTTTCGGCGGACACAACATCTTTGTTTGTATATGGTGCTGAGGATCAAACCCAGCTGGCACGCATGCCAGGTGAGCGCGCTACCGCTTGAGCCACATCCCCAGCCCAACACACAATGTATTTTTAAATAACCAATAGATTAAAAAACTGAAACACATTTACTATTCAGTTTCACAGTTCCACTTCTCAGGATTTACTTGAGATAAGGAAAACCAAGGGCGCCCAAAGACTCTGCGTAAATGTTCAGAGCAGCTTCATTCCTGATGGCCCAGCATTATAAATCACCAAAGTTTGTGATTCCTTTAATCCGTAAGTATTAGTATATGGGAAGGAACTATTGATAAATGGAACATGGATGAGTCTCAACACACATTGTGTCAAGTGAAGAACACAAACATTCCATTCCATTTATATCAAATTATCAGACTGGTAAAACAAAAAGAAGTAGAATGTAGATCAACACAAACTCATGCTGGTATTAACAAGGAGAAATCACAGACTTTGGGGAACTGAAAAGTTTCTGTGAACTCTGGGAAGATGGGAAAGAAGTTACATGGGTGTAGATATTAGTATAATTCGTTGAACTATAGGAACCCCTTCTTGTATTCAAATTATACTTTAAGTTTATTTTATTCAAGTTTGTTTGTTAGCAACACTAATAAGATTTTATAAGGAGGGTGCTCAGGAGAACAGATATATGTCAGTTCTTCATGATTCAGAAAATTTTTCGTGGTAAACGGGTGTTGAAAATGGATCTTGAAAAAGGGAAAAGAGACATGATATTGGTGCACATGAGATAGGACCAGTCAGCAATGCTTATTTATCACAAAGAATATTTTATCCAAAGACAAGTTAACTTTTTAAATCACATGTCATAAAATTCTAGATTTCCAGTTTTCGGGAGAAACATAGGCTGCAATCAGGCCAGAGTTTGACTGGGTACTTGACAGCTGGCCACTGCAGCTACCACCTTTGCAAAGGACACGTTTTTCCAGCTCAGGACAGACCATGTCACTCTATGGCCAACAAGAGCACTGCTACCCCAGCCCTTACCTGCTCATTGCCAGCAGGTCATCAGAGGAGTTGGGGCTCCTGTTTGCACAGAATCACTTGGGCTTAAAAACTTGTCATACAAGAAAAAGGACTCGAACTCTTTAGATAAACATTGAAAGGATGTGGATGACCCTTTTCTTTGTTACTTCTCCAGGTTAACTCTCCATTCATCCTCCATTCCTAAGCAGGCAAAGACTGCAGTTCTGGGGACTTGGGGTCTTGGGCTCCAGACATGGAAGTGACCAGAAGACTCACAAGATGTCTTCATAGGAGCTGTGAGGGAAGAGAAAGGGAGACACCATTCAGGAAACAGGAACAGGGGATGGAGGAGAGAGGAGGAGAGAGGAGGAGGGAAGGAACAGATGGAAGGGGAGACTCACCGGTGTCTCCTGATCCAATAGAAGCCTAGAATGAGCACAAAGAACAGCACCAGGCAAGCCAGTACCACCAGGATGACCAAGCCCACAGAGGTGTGGCTCCCACCTGCAGGGGACACAGGACCATGTATCAAGTTCCCTGGTCTAGCACATGTGAGGGACCAGGTGCTGCCTTTTTCCTCCCCCTATTTAGAGCATCAACTTCTATTCCTCAGAAGTTTAGACTCCCCACCTTTTCACAGGGTCTAGGCACCTCCACTACAGTTCATTTCACTATATAATAATGTAGTGTACAGGTGAAGCTGTGTAGCCAGGCAGACCTGAATCGATATCCAGCTCTTCCACCTTCTGTGAGACTCTGGGTAGTTAACCTATCTCAGCCTCAATTTCCTCATTTGTAAAATAGAATAACAGTAACTGCTTCAAAGGAGAGTGGTGATGCTCAGGTAAAGCACTGGATACAGAGTGGACAGGCCCCCACCCAGGAAGCACTCAGTAAACCACAGCTCTCCTTGTTAACCTGCTTTTCGTAAGTCCCTGATCCCCATTCTGCTGGGAAATGAATCTTCCCAGATGCTGTTTTCATTTTATATGCAGTGCTGCTGGTTGAATCCTAGAATCTGGGACAAACCACTGAGCTGCATCTCTAGCCTTTACTTTTTGAGACAAGGTCTCCCTAATTTGGCTAGTCTAGCAAACTACTTGGAATTCTCCTGCATCAGCCTCCCCAGCAGCTGGGAATACAGATGAGTGCTGTCATGCCCAGCTTCCAGGGATTCATTATTTGCCAACAACTTCCAGATCTCTAAGATTATCAATCCCATTTCATCTTGTATTAACACATCGGATCTCAGTCCTATTTTCCTCTTTACTGTGTCTGGAATCCATCCTTCTAGCCCTCCTAGTTGGTGTGCCAATTTCATCCTTCACAGTCGCTCCCTCTATGCTTGAGAACCACCGGCCTCCATTTCCAACACAGCCCCAGCCCTTTCTCACCCCAGTAGAGGACGAGGTCCTGCCCTCCTAGGCTGCTGTGCTTCACCCTGCAGGCCAGGCCAGCCAGCTCCCCAGCTGCCACATCCAGGGTTGCTCGGAGATACCACGTCTCATCACCATTGGGCAGGATGTCACCTCTCTGAGTGCCCTGCTGCTCCTGTTCCCCTCGCATCCACATCACCCACACGGGCTTTGGGTAGAAGCCAGACACGTGGCACACCGGCAGCAAACGGCCAGGCCCAGGACTGGGGCCACTGGACAGCCAGGCCTCGGGCTTCACTGTATCCAATAAGGGATGAGGAAACCATAAGGTAAGAACTCTGCATCAGAGGTCCCAGGCCTCCTCCAAGGTTCATGCTCCCCAAAGGTCCACTTCTGGAGGTGGAGTCTCCAAGTAGCTTTGATCCCTTTGTGTCACCTTGCCCAGGAGACCCATGCCTCATCTCCTTCCCCTCCCCTGATCCCAGTGCCCTATAAATGCCTCACCTCCTACTCTAACACCCTGAGCTCAGCTGGAGCACACAGCATGTCTCAAACATGGTCTGAATCAATTCTGACCCACAGATTTGATTTAATTCAACTCATGGAACCCAGCAGGTACTCAGTGACACTGGGTGATATGAACAAATACCCTCATGCCTTATCCATCCCCTATGTCTTGATCTTTGTCTGATGCTTAAAGGAAAGCAAACCCTGGGATGGAAAAACCTACTTGAAGCTTAAAAGTAGGATAGATGGAGAGGACAGAAGGCTGACCTTGCTTCTCCAGTTCTGACTTCCCTGTCTCTAGGAGGCCATTCACATATTGGGGGCAGATGTCATTGAGGAGCCACTGCACTGTTTCCTTTGTCCCTTCGTCCTGGTTGAGCACTTTGATGACCAAATCTACCCTCTGGGGGGCCTGTGGGGCAGGCTCCCAAGCAGTTCCCTGGAAACTCAGGATATATTCTCCTTGATATGCTACATGGAGAAAGTGTTCTGAGACGTTCCCAGGGTGCACCTCACAGCCACCAGACAGCTGCAGCTCCATGGGATCTGTGGAGAGAAACGTGCAAAACTCAAATGAGCTTTAAAGGACTGAAAGGGAAGAAGGACAAGAGACTGGTACTGGGGTTACACGGGGGACCCACAGTGGAAGGAAATGAGAGTGGGTGGCCTGATGCCTGAAACTGGGGCCCAGCCAGGCAGAAGTGCAAGTCCTCAGAGGGGGAGAAAGCAGACAACCTCATCCCCTCTCCCAGCAGGACTTCCATGCCCATTCTCACACTGTGGCGCCTGCCCTGGATCCATCCGCTCAACTCACACTCTAAGGACAGCATTTTGGCGAATTCCTGTATGTCCCTGGTGAAGCTGCTTCGAAAAACCCGAAATATATTCTGCAGGTGGACCCACTGCTGGCTGCTGAAGGTGCCCTGGGCCCAGGGCTTCACAAAGCTGATGGTGTCCGAGGCATTGCTCCAAGTGTGCGTCTGCAGCTCCCCCAACAGGATCAAGGCGTCAGTGCGCATCCAGCTGCTGTTAGTGAAGGAGGAGATCTGGAGATAGCGGAAGAGGACACTCCTTCGCAGGACTGGGAACAAGGAAGACTGGGTGAGTACAGGAATGGCCCACGGGGCAGAGAGCACAGGGAGAGGAAGGAACAACAGCAGATGGTGAGTCCAGGAGGGTCAGCTGGGGTGCGCTGACCCTGAGCCTTACCGCGTCGGGAGCCAGAGACCCCGCAATCTCTGGTGCATCTGTGCCCTCAGGGCTCCGCGGCCCAGGGCTCATCCCAGCGCCCTGGGGAGCCTTTCCCTAAGTCCCAAGCCCGCGCCCTCTCTCCGCCCTTTAGCGCCAGTACGCGGGCACCCTGGGCCACTCACCATCAGAGCTTCCCCACGCCTGGGGGATCACCCACAACAGCAGGAACCACATACACCCCATGCCTTGGAGTCTGGGATCTTGCGGGCTCCGCCCTTCCCAAGGCGCTGCCCTCCACGCCACGCCCCCAGCAGCCTCTTGCGCTGCGCTTTCGGGGGGACCACAGCCAAGTCCCATGTGCAGCTCAGGCAGTCGCCCCGCTCCTGCTGGGGTGCGCTTCACTGTTCTGCTAGACTGTCCCCCTCGCCCCTAGCGGTTCCATCTGCAAGGAGTCCTGAAGCTGTGGCTCACTTCACTGGGTTTCACAACCAACTCACTTTCCCAGGATCTGTCTCAATGCAGAAGGAATATGAAATAGCACATGCGAAATTTTACAACTGTTATCTAACTGTTAAAAGAGGACATTAAGTGCATCTGTGTTACGACTGCGATAGTGCCAATATATATATATGAAAGAATTTGGTTTGGCGGTGAGGGTCGCCAGGTGGAGAGACTATGGGTGATTTTGATTTGTTTTACACTTTTAAGTCTTCCAAAAAAAATCTACAAGTGAATCTGTTACATTGTCCATAAACTACCACATTAAAAACAATTTTCTCAGTGTCCTGAGGTAGAAGACAGGATAGGTAGAAAGGAGACAGGGGATAAAAATCAAGAGTGGCCTGGATTTAAGGTTCAGATTTAAAGTCCACTTTCACGTGGATTAAAAGTGCAAAGTCTCTTTCACCTACTCTGATTACAAACAGCACTGTTCCAGCAGTTGTTAGTCCTTACCCCCAGGTCCTTAAATAACTTCTTTCCTGACCTGGACCCACAAGAAAAAAACAGGTCTGAGAAATGCCTTTGCTCAACAAGTAGATATTCTTACAACTCATACATTGAGAATTGATTACATCATCTATATGTCATACTCTGCATCAAACCCTCAATGTTACACCAATGTAGTAATATTTAAGTTCACATGCAGAACAATGAAGCCCCCCCTGGGGGGGGAGGTGGGGGGGATTGCAAAAAGTGATTTTTCTTCAAAAATAAATCAGAAAAGAAAATGACGCCTACTGGGTAATTGTTAATCCTTCCACTTACTGTCACAAAGCAGGACTAAACCACCCTCTTAGATCATGTCCCTGTACTACAGATGTTTCATATATAAATACTCCTGGCTGAGATATATCTAGCACATTCTTCACCAGCACCTATACTCTACCCTGTCAGAGTGTGTACTGCTTTCTTTCTCACAATAAAATCAAGGGCTTGGGATGTGGGTCAAACGGTAACACGCTCTCCTGGCATGCACGGAGTGCTGGGTTGGATCCTCAGCACCACTTAAAAATAAGATAAAGATGTTATGTCCACTGAAAACTAAAAAAATAAAATTAAAATTAAATAAAGTCAATCTGTGCCGTCCTTCAACTCTATTTTGCCATGACATCAAGGAACCTCAGACATCAAGGAACCTCAGGACCTGCGTCACTTTCTTTTGGGGCCCCTCCTCAGGACCCACATCCTTGTGAGAGTATATCAAGGGAATTGCATTAGGTTGACTAAGATTCTTTCGAGTGCACATATCCCATGTCATTTTTTTTTGCATGTCACTTTATTGTGTTTCCCAGATAACAGCTTTGTAAAAATTGCACATTTATGGCAAGCTTGCACGGATCAATCAGCCCCTTTTTTCCACCAGCTCCCATGATCATAAGTAGTTTTAAGCAATTAAGTAATTTCAATTAATCGGTGTACATTTTAGACACACAATATTGCACACTTAATGAATTATAGTGCAGTATAAAGATAAGAAACCAAAAAATGTGCGTGACTCCCTTCGTAGCACTATTCACTTGATCACAATGCTCTGGAACCCAAAGAGCAATATTCCTGGTCATGCCAGTTCCCCTGCATTGCCCTCCACCTCTCACCCCTCCTGCCTGTCCTCTCTACCTACTGGCTTCCTCTCCTGCCTTCCTGCTCCCTCCCTCTCCTAATATGAGCCTCTGTTCTAAAGACAAGACATAAGATTCAAATGTTTCTGTGAACCTGGAGGGACAAATACCCACTTCTCACAATGAAAACAAGAAATTGTGACAGACACAGTGGCTTGGAGTCCTGATCCCCTGGACAGTGATTCCTTCTTTAATCAGTCAGAGCCTCAGCAGCATCCTGACACCCCTCTCCCCCATCTTTTGACCCACCCACTACCAGCGAGGCTCCACATTACATAGCTCTTAAATGGCTCTCTTTCTCCACCTTCCACCTTCATCACCACCCTAATGTTTTGCCGAGTCCCTGGAAATAGCTGTCTTCGGTAGGAGAGCAAAAATCAATGGCATGGCCTACAAGAGCACGTGGCCCTACCCTGCTCAACCTTTGAACATCATCTTGCACCCCAGTCTCTCTTCATGATGATACGCTTTCAGTTTTTCTCATATGCACAGAATCTTCCTGCCAAAAGCCTCTGCACAAAGAGTTCACTCAGTTTGGGGAACTTGGTCCCCTCTGCTCCCCTCACCACTTCCTGGGCCTAGTTTTTTCCACTCTGACCTCTGGCTCTGAGGTCACTTTCTCAGGGGAGTCTTCTGAGCCTCCCAGACTGTGAACAAAGGCAGGAGAACTAGGCCAGCCCCACCTGCACTCCTTGCACACTAACTTGCTTTGCAAACCTTTCCTCCCAGCACCTGCAGAGCCTGTCATTATAGAAACATTCATGTGTGTGTCTCTTTCTGTGTGCTCTTGTCAGTGGAGGGACAGCACATGTAAGGATCACATCTCCTGGCTCCACTTCCTCCCATCTGACCACATGAATACTTCCCTTCCTCCCGTACCCCTGTGTCCCTAGAGAACAAGCATCTGCCCCTCACCCTGAGCTGGGATCCTGGAGATCGCCCTAACCCACCTAGCTTACTATAACGAATGTCCCAAAACAGTTTGAAAGAACACAGAAAACTTATCTGTGTAACAAATAGAGGACTAAGTGATTAAGTAAAAGTTCAAAATAGCCCAAATTGTGGATGGGAAGGAAACTGTGGGCAGAGACGTGAAAAGAAAAGCGGTTGTGTGGATCATGGTACAACACCTAACTTCATTCTCCAAATTTACGAGCTCCATTTAAAAACTTGAAGAGTTCTATTTAATTTATCTGTATGTCAAACTTTTGATGCAAAAATTCTCTCATATGTAAAGACAAGAATGTGGGTTGTTTTTGTTTTTATTTGGTTTGGTTGTTCTTGTTTTGCTTTGTTTTGTTGGGTTTTTTTTAATAAATAATTCCTAGCTGCATAACCTCAGATCCAGTTATGGCTATTTGGACTTATGGAAATTTTTTTTCCAAAGGTAGGTTGAGTCAGACACTTTTTGGCTATTACAACTTCCACAACTTTCTTCTGAAACCTGGGAGATGCAGTATCACCATCTATCCTAGCTGGCAAGCTAATGCTGGGTTCACAAAATCTGACTATTCCAATAACTTAAGAAAACTGACAAAGAAAGCACGCAGACACACAGAAGTACCTTTTCAAAGTCCAAGATGGCTCTCTGACCTTATGGTCCGTGGAAAGAGAGAGAGCCACTGGAATTTTTTATTCTTATATAGGGGACACACAAGGGGAGGGCCCATGGAACATTCTATCTTCAAAAGGGCAAAGGGGTAGGATTATAAAGGAACAGGTGAGTATAACTCAACCCCCAGGGGTGACTGGTGATGCCTACTCCTGGAGCCATGCCCTGTTATCCAAACTGAAGTAACACCCACGTGACTGCAACCTGGGACTACCCTGCCAGACTGAATGCAATAATTGTTCAGAACCCATACATTAGGACGTAAAGGCGTCTGCATCCAGGCCAGCTCCCGACAATGCAGTAATTTGTTACCTTGAAATAATCTCTGGTTTTAAAAGTTGTATTAACCTGTATTAATAATACATATTAATGGAGTTCAGTATGATACTATCACAAATGCAAACAGCATGCCCTGACTATCCAAGCTCCATTCAGCCCCTTCCCCCCACACACTCCATTCCCAACCTCTACTAATCACTATTTTACCTTCATGTTAAAGTATTTTACTTTCCACCTGTGAAAGAGAATTTGCACTACTTGTCTTTCTATACCTGAGCTTGTTTTGCTTGATGTGACTTCCTCCAGTTCCTTCCATTTCACTGCAAATGACAGGATCCCATTCTTATTTATGGTTGAACAATACTCCATTGTATGTGTAGCACATTTTCCCATCCTTTCTTCTACTGATGGACAAGTAGGCTAATTCCACATGTTAGCCACTATGCGTGTTGCTGCAATAATCATGAGTATGCAGGTAACTCTTTGGTATGTCTATTTCATTTCCTTTGGATATATACCCAGGAATGGGATAACTAAATCGTATGGTAGATCTAGTTTTAGTGTTTGGATGAAATGCCATACTGTTTTCTATAGTAGCTATTCTAATTTACATTTCCATCAACAGTGAATAAAAGTTTGTTTTTCTCAACATCCTTGCCAGCATTTATTTATTTATTTATTTATTTGTTTGTTTGTTTGTTTGTTTGTTTGTTTTTGGATGTAGCCATTCTGAGAGGAGGTTGTGTTATAATTTTTATTTGCATTTTTCTGATGGATCATGTTATTGAGCATAGTTTTGACCATTTACATGTCTTCTTTTGAGAAGTATCTATTAAGATCATTTGTTCTTTTTTTAACTGAATTACCACGTCAATATTAATGAATCTCACTATTTTCTTTCAATGGCTGCCCATTGTCCTGTGGTTTGCCTGATAACAGAGATTGCTAGTTGCCTCCCCAAATACATTAGTTATAAAATTCATTTTTTCAAAACTAAGATTTTATCTCATTCCAGTCACAATGGCAAATATTAAGAATACAAGTAACAATAAATGTTGGCGAGGAAGTTGGGCGAAAGTTACACTCACTCATTGCTGGTGGAACTGCAAACTGCAAACTGTGAGTGTTGCGACTGTCATGGAAAGCAGTATGGAGATTCCTCAGAAAACTTGGAATGGAACCACCATTTGACCTAGCTATCCCACTCCCTGGTTAGTAACCAAAGGACTTAAAATCAGTATACTACAGTGTCACAGCCACACCAATGTTAATAGCAGCTCATTTCACAATAGGTAAACTATAGAAACCAACCTAGATGCCCTTCAACAGATGAATGGATAAAGAAACTGTGGTATATATACATGCTGGAATATTGCTCAGCCTTAAAGAAGAATGAAATTATGGC